GCTGCACAAGACTACCCTCCCAGGAGGTGGGAGGGAGCGTGGTCAGGTTCCAGCTGTGTGTGCCTCTGGATCCCTGCATGGGGCATCAGGGACAGGGCTGGAGAATGCTGACCTCCAGTCTGTGCCTGGGTGGCCAGTGGGTTTGCCCAGCTGTTCAGGGTGCTGAGTGTCAGAAGCCTCAGGTGACCTTTTCCTGGGAAAATTCAAAGGGCAGGGCAGAGACTTTTACCCGGTCAATCCCTGCTCCAATGGGGGTTAAAAGGAACACAAAGGCAGATACAGCAGGACTGACTTCCTGTCCCAGAGTCCCAGACTCGAGAAGGTTTATGGCTGGTGCAGAGCTTAACGAGCCTAAGGGAAGCCCAGTTCCTGCTACATTCTCCAAAGTGCCCCGTGAGGAAGCACTTTTCCTTTTCCTTTCTGTTCCTTTCTCCCTGCTTGAGGAGTCTAAGCTCAGGGAGCTGAAACGGCATATGCTCAGGAATTCAAGTTCAACTTCTGAACTCGGAGGTTCAGAAGGAACTCCTGATCTCCCTGTCCCAACCCCACTTGCTCCCATCTCAGGGAATGGCACCTCTGCTGTCCACCCAAGCACTCAGGCCAAAGACCTAGGACTCTCAAGAGCCCTCTCCTCCCACCCAATCTGTCACCTAGTCCCACGGGTTCTGCCTCCAAGATAAACCTGAAATGCCCTGTGTCCCTCTCACAGCCCCACAGAGCTTGCGTGGACTGTGGTGGTCTCCTCCCTGGCCTCCCTGCCTTTCCTTACAGCCCCCCATGTTCTACACACCGCACAACCTGAAGGCCTTAAAAATGCAAATCAGCTGTTCACTTCAGTACAGTCCAAAATACGGACTGTAGCCTGCAAATCTCTCCTGGCCTCATCTCCCAGCCCTCTCCGCAGGCCCGCTGACTTCTTCAGCCTTCTGAACAGAGAAGCCGGTACTGTCTCAGAGCCCTGCTCCGTGTTTCCTTTCCTCATCCTCTCATCTCAGCTGAGGCCCCTCCTCAGACAGCTTTCCTGACTCCTGTCCCACCACCGTGTCCTCGGTGTCAGAGCCTTCCCCGCTTTGGGGAGACCTGCTTATTTATGTACTGTTGAAGCCTCAAGTTCCAGGAGGTTGGGATCCGCATACCCAGTGCCCCGGCGAGGGAGAGGGCGGAAGAGAGGGAGAAGCAAACAATCCTGCAAAGTAGGTGTTATTACCGCTCTCTCTCAGGGGAGGTACCTGGGACTTCATTCCTATCTGGTACTCATCTTGTGTGAGCTCTTTTTGAGTTTTTGAAAATTCTAACCACCCCTAGTGTGTGGGATGTGGCCTGGACAGCAGGACCTACCTGTAGAGAACAGGGTTTTCTGTGACCCAGTCATTGGGTAGGCTGTGCGCCCACTTCCGCTGCCGAGGAGACATCATCTCCCCTTCACGAATATCCATCTTCGTCATCAAGAGCTTCCTGCCATCCTTTGGGGCCATGGAACGCTCCATAGTTCGCTTCCTGGTGGATGCCAGGGAGTGGACCAGCTGTACCTAAATCCAGGAAGGTCCAGGTTAGGGGGATCAGAACTGCAGACTTCCCAGCACCCAGGCTGACTGCACTGTCTTAGGTCAAATGGGAGCCGGCCAGTAGGAAGGCACTTTGAGGGAGGCCTGCAACCCCAGGGCACACTCCATGCAGGTGGGCTCTCCCCTCCCCATATCAGTCATTCAGCCATTTCTAGGAGGGCATCTTTCAAGAAATTTTAATGAGGACCAAGATGCTCATCCCCACATTTTTATACTCACAAGGAATTGGAAAAATGGAACTGTCCAACAATAGGAGATTGGTTGAGTAAACCCAGTATGACCCTTCGGGTGAATGTTAGGAATTTATTAAAAATGAGACTTACAAAGGATTTTTTATGACATGAGGAAATGCTCAGGATATGATATACCATAAAGTATATCAATTAAGAGCATAAATTAAGGGAGTTCCCTGGTGGCCCAGTGGTTAGGATTCCAGGCTTTCACTGCCGTGGCCCAGGTTCAATCCCTGGTCAGGGAACTGAGATCCCACAAGGAGTGTGGAAGGGCAAAAAAAAAAAAAAAAAAAAATATAATTAAAATTATAACCAAAATTATACATTATAATCTCAAAACTTTAAATGCATGGAGAAATGACAAGGAGAAAATAACCCAAACGTTATGAATCGTTGCTTCTAGGGCGCAGGATCATGTGAGTAATTCATTCCTTTTGTTTCTTTACGCTATTATAATTTCCAAGCCTTCCACAGAGAGCATTATTTAGGGCTCAAAGTAGGAATAAAAATCCCTTTTAAATAAGCAGTACACAACTTCAAAAGAAGGGTTTGAATCTGTGTGTTTCTTTTAAGATATTGTTTCATTTGTGCAGTTTTTTATAGATGACAAGGCAATGCCAACAACCTATAGAGGGCATTATTACCTTAATAAATTATGGGAAGTCCTAGGTCAAAAACTAAGCAGCCACTAAACATCGTGAAGTTCATGAATGTGCAGTGACAAGGAAAGGTCTCTGGGATAATTTAACCAGGGAAAAAGTAGGTTTTAAGACACTGCTATAGAATCAAACCCAGTTTTTAAACAGAAAAATAAGAAATGCTTTCATGCTAGGTAAAAGCTCCAGGACACCCAATGGCTAAATCTGGCTATTTCTGAGTAATTTAAATTAAATTAAATTTAATTTTCTAATTTTCAGAAACAGACATTCTAATTTTGTATCCTTACATTTCAGGAGCCAATAAGAATTATTTTTAATCTAAGCAATTTCAAAGCCCTTATTTCATTAGATTCCAGGCAAAGAAGTCTTCAGAGGGAGGGAAGTTTCCAGGGGGCCGGAGGGAAGCGGGGGGCAGGAAAAGGGGGAACAGAAGGACAGACTTACCTCAGCCTCGAAGATCTGCTGGTAGACATTCCCGCTGGGAATTTGGGTCACCTTCCCCACTGAGGACATCTTGGCCTCTGGCTGGACACCCCTGCAGGGAAGCTGTTGCCTGGGGTTTGGTCTCTATTAGACCCGGACGGATACTGACAAACCTCCCCCTACCCCTCCGAGGACAAGTCCTCCCCCGAGGACAAGGCTCCCCAGGCAGACAGGCTGGCCGGGTCCACGGGGGCTGAGACTCCTCTACCCTGGGAGAAAGCATCAGGGCCCCTCTCAGGCCTCAGGGTTCTTACTTTAAAAGAAGAAGAGGGGGAGGGGTGCGAAGAAGCAAAAGGGAAACAAACCTCAGGCAAGAACCTAACTGGAACTCACTGAGAAGGTCGGCTCTCCCAGCCACGCCAGGCGCAAATCCGAGGCTGACTTTGGGGACAAAGAATAATAGCTATTGCTTGCGCTTCACTCTCTCAAGCTCCTCCGGGAAAAGTCTACGTGCCCAAGGTATCAGCTGGGATTTCAACCCGGCCTTGAACCCCCAACTGGCGCAGAACGCGGTTCGAGGACTTCCCCCGCACCCCTCCCCCCCTAACAAAGGACACCTGGGTAGGAGAACGTGGAGGGAGGGAGCGGCCTGATTCTGGCCACGCTCATTAGGCACCTACTGTACGCTGAGAAGCCCAGCAGGCTCCTCTCACGCCTGCCCCACAAGCCCAACAAGGAGAAGGGGCAGTCTCAGGGTAGGCCCTCTAAGCCCCGCCAAGTGGAGGCAGGCCCTGCGCCCAGCGACCCGGCCGCGCCCGCACCTGCACCAGCAGAAAGCACCACTCAAGTCCAACCTCAACTGCAACTATACACACTTGGTGTCCAAGGCAACGCAGAGGGGCGGGAGCTCCGTTGGCCCCGCCCTCACGCGCTTTCCCAGGAGGAGGCGGGTTGCCCTTAGCGACGGGGAACCCCCCTCGTGGAGTAGTGAAACTCCTGCCAGTTTCTTTGTGCAGGGGATACCTCAGGGCTGGCAGGAGCTTCCAGAGAAGCACATTGAATATTCCGAAAATTAGCAGGAGACAGGAGATGCATCTCTGAGCCATTGCGGTCAAGAAAAACCATCCTATCTTCTTTGTCTTGGTTAAAACCAATCTCTGCCGGGAAGTAGCGTAGATAGTGCATGGCTATAAATAAGAAGTGGAAAGCATCTCTAAAAGAGACCATCTCTTTCTCAGACTAAAAGAGGTTGAAGGGCTCAGAATCCAGGCCTCAGGCTTGAATGGAATTATAATTAAAAGGCTAATTTATGTGACTCTTTGAGTTCCATTCACCCAACTCACCACTGCTGCATAACCCTCCTAAAATACAGCTCTGAGGTACCCACTCTCCTGCTCACCAGCTCTGCAGCCCCTACCAAACCCAGCCCACAGTCCCTAGATGACCTCAGAGGCCCCCCGCATCTGGGTCCCGCCCTGACTCTCCCTGCTTCAGCAAACTCCTCACTCTTCCTATATCTGCCACTGCCCCCTGCCCTTCCTCACCCTGCTCCTCTGCTGGGATCCTTCTGTTTCCACACACCCCAAACCCACCCATACTTCCAGCCACTGCCAGTGACAAGATCCCCCCCACTCATTCTGACCCTCATCTCCCCTTCCTCACCCCGTCACCTCTCCTTTCCCTGAACGGGCTTGTACGTTGGTCACTGTCAAATGCAGGAGTTCAGGGCATCCTACTGGAAGGGGTTTTCTGAGGGGCAGGTGTGCCCTCCTAACTTTCGTCCAGCTTCCACTGCCCTCAGCAGTGTCCTGCACATTATTCAGACACACTGAGTGCTCCCTGGTAAATGCACGAATGCCCGGAGTGTCCTGGTCTGACTCTCCCAGAGTTGGCTCTTTCCCACACACGCACCCAGAGTCCTGCATGGCCAGGGCTGAAGATACTTGTGGCTGACACTGAACCTGGTGAGGGTTTCCTATAGGTGTGGGATTCCTGACTCCTCAGAGAATCCCTCCCCTCAGCAGGGATCCCTGTCCCAATTGCTCATAAATGCTCCCTATGACAACTTCCTTGAATAAGTGATCATTCTGTCCAGACTAATTTCAGAAATTAAGAAACAGTGAATAGAAACCCTTTTATTCCCCTTCTTTGGTCCCAGGTTTTATTAACAAGGTGAAATATTGTAACAAGTGATTGGACTAATTTTAGCTGGAAACAGAGAAAGTATATTTAAGTGAGGTTAAGGGTGAAAAACACAATAAAAAATAGGAAGTGTGCAGGAATTATTTGCAGTTAGCGAGATCTCTGTCTTGTCTAAGAGGCCCTGTTGGCTTGGCCCTTCTACATCAGAAACTGTGTTTTCCCTGCTCATAGATGCTTTCTGGGTTCCAAGTAAGCAACACACATTGTTTAAAATAGAAAAAAAAATTGAATGGCGAAAATAAAAATAACCCATAATATCACCACTGAGAATTTACCTTCCTTAATTCCCAAGTTTCTGGGCTTTTGTATTTGAGTTTGGATCAAACATGGAAATTTGTGTTTGGCTTTTGGATGGCATTTGTATTACCCTCCTAACTCTACAATGTTCTAACTGGAAAGAATAACCAGCTAGAGATTATCTGGTGAGTCCACCTCCCGTGTTAGAGATGGGCAAGGAGGTGAGAGACAGGGAATGGAAGGAGTGAAGCCAAGCCTTTGGACTCTTTTTCCTGCACCTCAACGTTGTATCTTCCCCCTCAGTCTTCACTTTGAAAATGTCTCTTGACTTGAACTTCATCCTTTTCCTTCCTCTTCCACAGTCCATCGTCCATCTTCTCCATAGTCCATAGAAAGAAAACCAACAAGGACCACCTCAAGAGCTAATATTTACTGAGAGGGTTTAATACTCTCAATAACTATGAGAGGGGTACTGTAATTAGATGAAGAAACTGAGGCTCAGGGAGTTGGTAACTTGGCCAAGAGCTCCAAGACAGGAAGTGATTGAATCCAGGATGTGGACCTTGACCATGTAATTCCAGAGTTTTGAACCAAACACTATGTCATCTGACCTTGGGACTAACCAGAAAAAACGTTCTGGATCCGACTGACAGGATCTGTGTGTTGAACTATAGCACACATACCGGAAAGTACTGAAATCCTAAGTGTATAGCTTAACATATTATCCAGTGGGAATACACCTGGTAACCAGTACCCACAAGAAATAGAACATTACCAGCTCTCCAGGAGCCCCCTTTATGTACCCGTCCCAAGTCACTGCCCTCTCCTCCCCAAGGGTAACCAGTATTCTAACTCATGAATTAGTTTTGCTTGTTTTTGAACTTAAATGGAATAATACAGAATGTACCCTTTTATGTTGGGCTTCTTTCATTATGTTTGTAAGTTTCAAACATATTTTTGAATGTGGCTGTAGTTCATTTTTATTTCTGATATCCCATTACCAAAAATATAACCCATCGTATTTATCCTTTCTATTATTGACGCACATTTGGGCGGTTTCCAGTTTAGAGAATTACCAAATAATGCTGCTCTGAACATTCTTTTGCATGGTGAACATATGTAGGCATTTCTATTTCTAGTCTATTCATATTTTCATATACTTAAGGCTATTCACATTTCTTTTTCCGTGAACTGTGGGTTCATGTCTTTTGCCAATTTTTCTACTGTGTGTCTGTTCTTTTTCTTATCAATTTCTAGGAACTCTTTGTATATTGGGCATGTGAGCCCCTTTGTAATATGAATTACAAATATTCACAGTTTATCATTTTTTCCTTTTTATTATGACGGTTTGGATTGGGTTTTCTTTGGTGTTTTTATTTGTTTGTTTGTTTTGCTATGTATTGTTAAGATGTTACTTCTCCCCAAATTGATCCATAGATTTATACAATCACAATAAAGTATCTCAGCAGATGTCTGGTGGACACTGACTATTTGATTTCAAAATTTCCATAGAAGTACAAATGGCCAAGAATAGTCAAGACAATTCAAAGAAGAATAAACTTGAACAGCTTACACGACCAGATATTAAGCCTTAGAATAAAGTTACAATCATCAGGGCAATGTGCTGTAGTAGCACAAGAATAAACACAGAGAGAAACAGAGAGTCCAACTCAGACCCACACATACGAACATTTATGTTGTATATACTAAAGAGGCCCGGCAGAGCAATGGGGAGAGGATAGTCTTAGTAAACAGCCCAGGGTTGCCAGTTATCCACATGGGAAAGAAATTAATCTTGACTCCTACCTTACACCAAGAACAAAAAATCAATTCTAGGTGGATTTAAAATCTAAATGTGGAAATTTAAAATAATAGCATTTGTATTAGATAACATAGGAGAATATTTTCTTGACCTTGGGGCATAAAGACAAAAATTAATAAACTGGACCTTATTAAAACTAAGAACTTCACTTCATCAAAAGACGCCTTCAAGAGAGTAAGAAAGAGCAGAAGGAGAATAAATACGTGTCACATATTTATCTGGAAAAAGCCTCACAAAGGATACGTAACTAATTTCTGTGAATTAATAAGAGGAAAGAGACAATCTACCTGAAAAAAGAAATAGGCAAAAGATTTGACTAGGCATTTCACAGAAAGATAACCAAATGGCCCACAGGTACATAAAAAGCTGCCCAACATCATTACTCATCGGGAAAATGCAGATTAAAACCACAATGAAACACCACTACACATGTACCAGAATGGCTGAAAAATGCTGACAATACCAAGTGTTGGTGAGGATGTGAAGCAACTGGAACTCTCATACACTGCTATGTGTGTAAACTCCTACAACCACTTTCAAAAACTCTTTGATAGTATCTCCTAAAGATGGACTTACACATACTCAATGACCCCAAAATTCCATTCCTGGGTAAATGCCTCAGGCTCAGTCATAATATGACAAAATTATGAAAGTTTAAAATTTGACAATACATCCTAAAGCTGGGGGAGAAATAGAAAAGTGAAGCTTCCTCTCAAGACTCTCCAGGCCCATCAGGTCCAGCAGTCTGTAGACCTGCCTGATTGCACTGGGGGTGCCTGCATAGCTCCAGAGAACTTGGGGTACTCAGAGGTGGCATGTTGGTGGGGGGATGGCAAAGAACTCACATCCTGGGCAGAGCCACTGGTCCAGGGAGCAGTATGCTCTGCAAGGCTCAGCTGGAGCAAGCCGGGCTCCAGCTCCCCACCTCATAGCTCATTCTCTTACCTTCCCCAGGAATGCTGAACCTCAGGAACTCCTCCTCACTGCACGCCATCCTCTCTGCTCTGCCGAGCACCTCCACTCACCATCTGAAGAAGACATGGGGAGAAGTTTCCAGGTGTGTAGGCCTCTCTCCATAGGAGCACCAGGTGGATGAGGAATCTCCCATAAGGCTGGCATTGCCCCGTCTTTCAACTGCCCAGACCTCCTGGGAGGCAGCGAACCCTGGGGACAGGGACTGGGCTGGTGGATGCGGTCTCTAAGCCTCCCTAGGACTGCTTCAAAAATCCGTTTCCTTAAATATCAGAGACTGGGTTGAGCCAAATCAGAGATTTTCAAGTGTTTCCTTTACAGCAACAAACTATTTCCGTTTGAAACAAAATTTACTCAAAATAGAACGCTCAGAAGAAATGGGAGTGGAGGCCCCAGGCGGCCAACACAAGGGCTCCCCCCAGGCCCATGGAGCCCTTAGAGCTCAGAGGAACCAGGTGGAAACCCTCATCTAGACAGTTTGGATCATCTGGGTTCTCAAATAAAAGGGATTTACACTCACACCCCCCCCCATTATTCACAAATTTCTCCTTCCTTCTTTCCTTTTCCCTCCCCTGAGGAAGAGTTCCCCAAATTTTCAACAGCTGGTGGCAAAGACGACTCACAGAGCTGGGAGCTGCTCATCGAGGCAGAGTGGAGTCTGGAAGTCTAGAAAGAGAGAGGGAGAGGGGCACGAGACGCGTGCCGTTTCATTTCTCACTTAAGGTATCTTTGAAAAATTCCAGTTTTGTCTTGTCTAGATTAACAGGAAGAGGGGTCTGTTTGGTCCGTGGGCAGGTGGGGGACAGTTTGGGGGCAGGAGGCCCTGGTAATGGGATAAAGTGGCAACAGCTGGCTGTTCCAGGAGGCGATGCTGAACTGGCAGAATCAGCAGGTGTCTGGCTTCCATGCTGGTCCATCCCGCTGGCATTTAGCTTCTTCCAGGCTGGTGGGGCGGGTGGGAGTTCCTTTCTTCACTAAACCAGCCTAGCCTGTCCTCAGGAAGCCGGGCCGCTGCTGCTCCTCTGGTCTTCCCTCCATCTCCCAGGAGAGGGCACCCTGCCTTCACCAAGGATGGGCACTGCAGGGGACTCCCACGGACCAAGTGGACGAACGGGCTGCCTAGCCTTGGGTCCAAATGGCTGGATCAGGGACATAAGACACCCATCCCGGTTTCCTAGCTGGCGAAGCAGCAGAGATGCAGGAGATTTTGGTCTGGAGCTGGAGTCAGCCTTCCCCTCAGATGGTACCATGGAGAAAGAGATGTGGGTTCCTCCAAGTCTCTTCCTGACTGAGGCCTTGGTCTCCCTGTCTGTCATCAGAGAAGACTGGGTTAGAAGGTCCCTGAGTCTCAGCTCCCGTGTCCCCCCAGCTTTGGAGTCCACAGCGTGGCCAGGTCCAAGTCCTGTTTTCTGGGTGTGCACTGCCCCCTCAAGGGCCTTGGTGGTAGTGCAACATGAAAGGGGCAAGGATGGAGTACTAGTGATGGGCTAGGGGGCTCTTTCTGATGGACTTTAGCCGTCTGCCTCCTAGGGGAATCAGATCAACCTCCAGAAAAGGAATATTCCTCTAGAAAAGGAATAAGGTGGACAGCTGTGGTACTCGCTGTGGGAGAGTGGTAGAGGAGTGGAAATCAGAGACCCTCTGTGCAGGACACTCCCTGCTCCGTCCCAAGTCTTACATTTACTGGGAGAATTTGATAATACAGAAGTGGGAGACCCATTGAATTGGTAGATGGGGGAAGTGGGCTGGCATCAAGGACAACTTCCCAGAGGAAGGGCTATTTACACCCATCTCTGAAAACAGGTAGGACCTGGATGGAACTGGAGGGAACAGAGGGTTCCTGTGGGTGCCTCTCAAAGGTTTCAACTGAATGACTGAGACCCACTCACATTTTCAAAGGTAATATCCTCTATAGTCAACTGATTGTAGATGTGTTTGATTAAATAACCGGGAACTATAACCTTGCCAAGTTGACATGGAGGACCATCACAGTTCTATTAATCCTTTATGTATACTGAATATTAGATGCTTATCAGGTCTAATATTTTCTTCCATTCCATGGGTTGTTTTTCACTCTCCTGATAGTGTCCTTTGATGCACAAAAGTTTATCATATTTATGAAGTCTTAATAGATTGTCTTATGAACTTATCTATTATTTCTTTTCTTGCTTGTGCTTTGGATGTTATATCTAAGAATCCTTTACCAAATCCAATATCATGATATTTACTCCTTTAAGAACTTTATAGTTCTAGCTCTTAAATTTAGGTTTGCTCCATTTTGAGTTTTGCATATGGTATAAGGTAAGGATCCAAATTCATTCTTCTGCATGTGGATGTTCAGTTTTCCTAGCACCATTTGTTGAAAACACTGTTTTCCACATTCCATGGTCTTTACCATCTGCTGAATTTCAACCATTTGTTGAAAATCATATGACCATAGATATAGTTTATTTCTGGACTCTCAGTCTATCCCACTGGTCTATGTCTATCTTTATGCCAATGATGCACTGTTGGATTACTACTGCTTTATAGTAAGACTAAAAATCAGGCAGTGTGTTTTCTAACTTTGTTCAACTTTTCCAACGTTGTTTTGGCTATTCCTTGCAATTCCATATGAATTTTAGGGCCAGCTTTTCCATTTCTGCAAGAAAGATTTGTTGCAATTTTATAGGGATTGCATTGGACATACAGATTACTTTAGAGAGTACTGCCATCTTGTCATAAGTTTTCCAATCCATTAACATGGTGTAGATTTTCATTTATTTATGACTTCTTTAGCTTTTATTTTTTCAGAAATGTTTAGTGGTTTTCAGAGTACAAGTCTAGTACCTCCTGGTTAAATATTTTTTAAGTACTTTATTATTTTTAATGCTCTTGCAAATAATTTTCCTCAGGTTGCTCCTTTCTACAGAATTATAATAAACTTTCATTTCTACAGTTGTATTGAATGGCAGTTGATAGATGAGTGTTAATCTGTATCCTGTAACATTGTTGAACTCATTTATTAGCTCTAACAGTTTCTTTTTGCTTCTATTTTTATTCCTTAAGAATTTATAAAATCATGATGTCAGCAAGTAGAAATATTTTTACTTTGGTTACTATAATCTTGAAGTTCTTGCATCTATTTTCATAAGGGATATTTGTCTGTAGTTCTCTTTGCTTGGGAAGTTTTAGTCTGCTCGCTTATCAGCGTTATGCTGGCCTCATAGAATGCGATAGGAAATGTTTCCTCTTCTTCCATTTTTTAGGAAGAGTTTGAGAAGAATGTATTTTAATCTTTTAAAATGTTTTGTAGAATTCACTTGTGAAGCCATCCAGTCTTGGGCATGTCTTTGTTGTAGTTTTGTTTTTGTTTTTTAAATATTCAATCTCGGGCTTCCCTGGTGGCACAGCGGTTAAGAATCCACCTGCCAATGCAGGGGACACGGGTTCGAGCCCTGGTCCAGGAAGATCCCACATGCCGCAGAGCAACTAAGCCCGTGAGCCACAACTACTGAGGCTGCGCCCTAGAGTCCGTGAGCCTCAACTACTGAGGCCCGCACGCCTAGAGCCCGTGCTCCGCAACAAGAGAAGCCACTGCAATGAGAAAGCCAGCGTACTGCAACAAAGACCCAACTCAGCCAAATTAATTAATTAATTAATTTTTTAAAAAAAGAATTCAATCTCTTTACTTGTTATAGGTCTATTAGGAGTTTCTATTTCTTCTTGAGTCAACTTTGTTAGTTTGTGTCCTTATAGGAATTTGTCCATTTCATCTGGGTTATCCAATTTGTTAGAGTACAAATATTCACAATATACTTTCATAATCATTTTTATTCCTGTAGAGTCAGTAGTATTATCCAACTTTCATTTCTGTTTTTAATAACTTGGTCTATTCTCTTTTTCTTAGTGATTCTAGCTTCAAATTTCATCAGTTTTGTTGATCTTCTCACAGAATCCACTTTTGGTTTGATTCACTGTCTCTGTTGTTTTCCTTTATTATTTTATTTATTTATTTTTGGGAATATAATGGCTTTACAATGTTGTGTTAGTTTCTGTTGTAGAACAAAGTGAATCAGCTATATGTATACATATATCCCTTCCCTCCTGAGCCTCCCTCTCACCCCTCCCCCCCATCCAACCCATCTAGGTCATCACAGAGCACCAAGCTAAGCTCCCTGTGCTATACAGTAGTTTCCCACTAGCTATCTATTTTACATATGGTAGTGTGTATATGTCAAGGCCACTCTCTCAATTTGTCCCACCCTCCCCTTCCCCCGCTGTGTCCACAGGTCCATTCTCTACATCTGCATCTCTTTTCCTGCTCTGCAAATAGGTTCATCAGTACCGTTTTCCTGTTCTTTATTTTATCTATGCTCTCATATTTATTATTACCCTCTTTTTGCTAGCTTCAGGTTTAGTTTACTCTTCCTTTTCTAGTCCTCAAGGTGTCAAGTTAGGTTATTGTTTTGGGATCTTACTTCTTTTTAATGTAGACATTTACACCTATAAATTCTCCTGTGAGCACTGCTTTTTCTGTATGTCATAAGTTTTGGTATGTTGTATATTCATTTTCATTTGATTCAAGATATTTTCTAGTATCCCTCATTTTCAACTTTCACCCATTGGGTGTTTAATGTTGTATTTCTTAATTTTCACATATTTGTGATTTTCCCCCAGTTTTCCTCCTGTTATTGATATTTAGTTTGATTCCATTGTGGTCAGAAACGACACTTTTCATGATTTCAATTTTTAAAAATTTACTAAGACTTGTTTGGTGGCCTAACATATGGTCTATCCTGGAGAATGTTCTTTATGCACTTGAGAAGAATATGTATTCTGCCGTTGTTGGGTGGAGGGTTAGGTCTAATTGGTTTATGGTGTTGTTCAAATTCTTTATTTCCTTACTGATTTCCGTCTGGTTGTAAGATCCATTATTGAAAGGGGAGTACTAATATCTCCACTATTAATGTGGAACTGTCCATGTCTCCCTTCAATTCTGTCAGTTTTTGCTTCATATGTGTTGGGACCTCTGCTGTTAGATATGTATATGTTTATAATTATTATACCTTCTTGATGGATTATACCTTTTATCAATATATAATGTCCTCAAGGATGAGAGATACCTGATCCCTGCCCTTGAGGAGCTCACAAACCAGTCCAGGGAAGAGGCTGGGAGACAACTGTAGCAAGAGCTGCAAAGAGAGGCCTTGCCACATGCTGAGGCAGAACCTCATCTCCTCAGGTGTCCTGTGTCCCTGGAGTGGTGACTGCACGTAGCAAGTACTTGGTCAGCACTGGCTGGGTGCAAGTGAGGGGCACTGGCTGTGAGGTCTGCACTAGCTTTCATTTAGAGAAACTGAGACTCATTCTAGTGGCAGAGCTGGAACCCAAACCCAGTGCTCCTGACCTTCTGTTTAGTGGCCACTCAACCATGATGCCAGGGTTGATTTCAGTATTGAATTCATGGCTGAGATATTCAGTCATCATGGCCTTATTATTTTATTCATTCCAAGATCCTACTATGTTACAGCAGATACTTGGTAATGGTGAGGAAAATCTGAGAAGGCCTCTTTCTTTGTGGAGCCGAGAGCATAATGAGAGGGAGGCAGACATGAATCAATCACCACAAAGGGTAACATTACAAACGACGACTGATATTTATTGAGAGTTTAGGATATGTCAGGCACTAGCTTAGGAGTGTTTGTGTATATTAACTCATTTTATCCTCAAAATAATTTTTGGCGTTGCGGGTATCTTTCCCTTTTTATATTAATACGTAGGGGAAAGAAAGCACAGAAAGGTGAGGTAACTTAGCCAATGTCACACAGCTAGAAAGTGGTGGTGGTGGGATCCCGATACTCTGAGTCCCAGTTTCCTTAGTTTCAAAAAGCAGAATGACAAAGCTTGGTTGCAGAGATAAAGTTAAAAGAGATACGTCTGGCAGACACATCTAGCAAAGGACTGGGCTTACAGAAGGTACTCAATGATTACTGGATTTCAATGGCTCTGGGATTTGTGAGGTGGATGGGGACTTCCCTCACGCTATGGGTGAGTCCTCCTGGTACTTGCACAGGTTTTGTGAGTGACAGGCCCCCATTTATCAGAGATCTTATGCTGGGGAATGAAGAATCTGGGTAAGTACTGGGCCCCCTGCACAAAGAGAAAGGTCCAGGCTTCACAACCGGGCACCTGGACCCCCTTGGATGGTCTAACCAGCCCCCAGCACCATGCCCTGCATACACCAGAGGGCTCGCCCTCCTCAAACCTGCGCCCACACTTTTGCTCCTGTTGTCCCCCACCTTACATGCCTGCCCATCCCATCTCTGCCTCCTCAGACAAGTGGCTTTCTCAGGGAATGCCCTCTTTGTCAGAGAGAATCTGTACATCTGATTTGTGACCAAGGCCCAGGTCAGTTCTGATCCGTTCCCCATCCCAGTGGCTGTGGGAGAGAGAACTCAGTGTGTGTCTGCTCACCCACCAGACTGGAGGCTGGGATCGTGGATTCCTTCTCTCCCACCACCATAAGACCTAGAAAGGAGGAAACAACGAGGACCCTGTTGGACTAAGGCCATACTTTCTCCCAGAGAAAAACTGTGCCACATGGTTAAACTCTCCTGATATAAAAAAATTTACCACCTCTTTCAGTGACACAAAGTTCTGCCCTGTGGCTACATTAAGTGTGTCTCAACATGGATCTCCCCAGGGCTGCCTCCTAACCATGGATAGTGGAAATCATTATTGGGCAAAGTTTGTTCAAGAGAAATTCTCTTTAGTTCTTGATCTTTTTACCAAGGGAATGAATTAGACCTGAGACTTCATTGTTCAGCCCAAGTGCCATCCCATGAATTGCTGGCCTGTATGCCGTCTGTGTGGACAGCGCCTGTGCATCCCGTCACACTGCAGGGGACAGCTGCTGGGTAGCCTGGGCCTCCTCAGGGGCAGATGTCCTGGAATGGCCTTGTCGCAATGTGGGAGGTCAACGTCAGCTCTCCGAGCACATCAACAGAATCTGGGTAAGTCCCGGGAGCCATGACCTGGCCTTGATTTTCTGAGCGTGACCAGTCTGGGGTTGTTGATCAGGGTCTGCAGCAGGAGCCACCTTGTCCTGGACCTCACTGAGGTGCGGGGACCTAGGACAGAACCAGAACCAGTAGACTGGGAGGAGGGGGCAGCTTGTCTCTGTCCTTCTCAGAGGCTGTAGCGAAAGCTGCCCAGAAGGTGTGAGGTGTGGAAGGAGGAGCTGGACCAGGACTCCTGGGGACATGAGGGCGGCTGGAGGGATGTGAGTTTGTCCCACAGATCTGGGTATCTGCAGCATTGGGAATAGCAATGAAAACGGTCCAGGTCAGTGTTGAGTGTCCACGACAGAACATGGCTAACTGGAGGGCTTCCCAGCGGAAGGCAGAGCAGAATAATAGGGGTGGCAGGGGTGGGAGTAGACAGTGTATAACCTTCAGGGGATAGGAGTCGGTGGCTGGGAGAGCTTGTGGTAAGGAATGGGGCAAATTAAGCAAAACTGCACACCATCTTGGAGGGCACCTGGCTTGCAGCCTGGGCTATGGGTAGCATCTCAAACAAATGGTTGAATGAAGGACTCAGCTATCAAAACTAGAGCTCGTTTCTGGAAACAAGGGAGGAGGCCAGTTGGCAGGACAAGGACACAAGGCCTCAGGGGTCCTGTAGCCAGGCTGACTGGGGACAAAGCCTCCTGATCCCCTGGGTAGAAGGGCTCCCAGGGCAGGAAGTGTGGAGGAAGAGGGGCAGGGAAGGAGGAACCTGGGACATCTTAGGGATCCCAGGGAAGCCTGAAGGTACGTGTTTCCTGGTGTCCAACCCCAGTGTAGGTTCAAACAGGATACTTACCTGCTGACTGATTTGGGTACCAGTATTTGATGGCCTGCTGCAGCCTCCTCTCTCTGTGGCCTGTGATCAGGATGTGACAAAAGCTGACGAGCACAGGGTTGGTGTGATAATGATCCACATAGAGCATGCCAATCCACGCACTGAACCCTGAAATCCAGAAGGCAAGTCAGGCCATGCAGTACGTCCCAGGATGGCCCAGCTTGTGCTTTTTATGACGTAACTGCAGCATCACTTTGTTCCCAAATGGTGCCTGTGTCTTTGCTGAGAATCTAGAAAATGAGGTATAAGGAGCTGGAAAGGTTCTTAGAGATCACACCCTAATCTGTTCATTTTATGGGAATTTGAAGCTCATAGCAGCTAGGAGCCTCTGTGTCTTATATGAAGAAGGCAGCAGCCATTAAATGAATGAATGAGTGAATGAACAGACATGGGCCAGAAATAGGACAAAAACTGTTTTTTCTCCACAGAAAAAGCTTTGATTTTGGCACATTGAAACTGAACAAACCATTTTCTTAACTAAGCTTGCAACTAACAACACCAGTAATTCTGAGACGTGTTTTCTCAAAATTTTCAGAGCCATGCATTCACAAATTACCTTCTAACTGTTCAGATAGAATTCGCTACCTCTTACTGCCCTCCATTCTACCTCAAAGGTCTGTCAAACATACAAGTATTTAATAGCCTGAATTCCCTTCTGACCATCGGGCTGAATAGTTTTGTTTTGTTTTTCTATTCAGCTTTATAGCCTCCATGGGAAGATAAACTCTAAGCGTAAGTGAATCCTCTGGTACCCGACTTCCAGGCAGCTTCTGCAAAAGTACTAGACCAGCGCTCCCCAGATGCACGGCCACGTACCCATGTCTGCTCTCTCACAGCCACTCTGCAGAATGGTCCTGTCGATGCGGGCTATCAGCCACGTGCCCAGGATGCAGCTGATGAGAAGCCTGGAGAGGCAGGCGCCCAGGCCCAGCAGCACGTTGTAGAAGAACAGAAAGTAGTTGAAGTTGTGGAATGCTCTCCTGCAAACAAAGGCAGGTGGAGGGGCAGCACCTTTCAGTATGAGAAGGTGGCTACGCAGGTGGGCTCAGGGGCCCCCCAGACCTGTGGTCAAAGCCTACGTCTCCCATCTCCTAGCTGTGTGACCTTGTGCTGTTAGCAGGAGCTGACTGTCCCCATTTCGCACCTGATGTGAGGACTGGCTCAGAAACAGCGTAGAGGGTGCTGAGCCCAGGGCAGGCTGAATGTGAGTGGGGACTGTAAACCTCATGTGGCTACAGCTGGGTTTGTGGTTACGGCAGAGGGTGTGGCTTTCCCACTGTCCATTGCAACAGTGACCTGCCCCCAGCTAGAACTGCTCCAAGTCCTCCAGGTGAAATTTCTCAAATGACCACCTGATCATGTGATCCGTCTCCTGTTGCCTATGGGATGAAGCCCAAACACTGCCTATGAATTCTGGGGTCCTCTCTGAGAGGGGCTTTTCTGGCATTACCACTTTGTACCTCCTTCCTGTCCCTCACCATCTAAGGCCACTGCATGGCCACAATATTGGATTCTCACTCTTCTCCCAACACATCCTGCCCTTTCATGGCTTCCTGCCTGCATTGGTGCAGCGGGGGCTGCAGCCACGCCATCTCCTCATCTCTGCCTGTAGGAATCTTACCATCCCACAGATCTCAGCTCACATGTCCCGACTGCAGCTGAAAGAGAACACCCGCCTCTCCTGCACCCCGCCACCCCCCCGCTTCTTCGTTACTCATGTTTCTCTTGCAATGCTTTCACACCCTCTGGACTCTACTGTCCCTATATGTCTGTGTCTGTCGGCTCCAGTGCACCGCGAGCACATCACAGGCAGATTGTGTGGGGTATCTCTTTATCCTCAGTGCCCGTGTTGTTTCCTCCATGAGTGAACAGCTTTGAATGAATGAACTAGAAAGGATTACCCATGGGACAGGCACTATTGTTCTAAGTTCATATTTTAATACATTTCAGCCTCAGAACACCTCTCTGATGTATGCACAATTATTTGTAAAATGAGGAAGTGGAGGTTCATAGATGTTTAGTAAGGTCACACAAGGTCACAAAGCTCATAAGGGGCAGAGCCAAGATTCGGCCACAGGCAGTTAGGCCCCGGTTCTGAACCACTGCCCCTCACCCTCTCAGAGAGTGTAGAGTCCACCCAGGAACCTGCCAAGGGTGAAGAGGAAGGAACGAGACTGCTGAGGCCAAAGCCCTACAATGCCCTGCTCCCTTCTCTGCCCTCACCTGTTATTGAGAGCCAAGGGCTTCTGCTTGTCAGCTGCTCCCATCTTTGGTTGCAGGAAGAAGCTGGCGGCGATCCATACCTGCAGGACCATGAGGCCCAGGACGATGGATATGGTGAGGCTGAAACACAAGGTGAGACCATCCTGAGGTGGCCTTATCCGTTCTTCCCAAGCCCATCTCGAATGCCCCTTGATAGAGAGAAGAGAGATGCTGACTGCCCACCAGACCAACAGTAGCTTGAGCTCTGCCCTTTATGCCTACAGAGCATCCTCCTGCCCACTGTGCAGATGAGAAAACTGAGGCTCACAAAGGGCAGATGACCTTCTCAAAGCTGCATCATCAGGTCTTCTGGCTCCAGACCAGAACTCCAGGATTTAATTATGTCTTTTTGTTGAGGGGTGGCAGCTGGGCTGAGTGGTTTAACAGCACAGGAATCAAAGAAAGGATGGGGTCTTTAGAAGAGCTCATGAAGGCCACGGGAGAGTGGACAGGGCAGGTTCTGCCGCAGACTCACAGGAGGCTCTAGGTGAGTTTGGAACAAAGGAGCTCAGAGCAGGGAGGTCCCCAGAGGGCATCACGCCCTGTGTTTGCATTCTCTGAGTGGCAATGTGGGGTGGTGGTTTAAAGAGGCTTTGGTTTCAGATTGCCCAGCTCCCAGTCCTGCCTCCTCCCCTGGGACAAACTGCTCGGCCTCTCTGTGCCTCTGTTTCCTCATCTGAAAAAAGGGAGCTAATGTAAGTCCCAACCTCAAAGAGTTCTTAAGAGAAAAGATGTGTAGTGAATTCTCAATAATGTCGGCATTCACTTTTACTTTCCATATGGGTAAACTGAGGCTCAGAGAGGCACTTACAAGCCACACATCTGATCTAAAACCCAAGCTCAGATTTCCTCTCTCCTTCCACTATACTGTCCTTTCTCTTACTTCACCTCCCTGAACCTCAATCTTCCCACCTATAAAATGGACACATATATATCTCCCACAGACACAATTGTGAGGACACCATTGAACAGTGAGCGTGGAAACATTTTGTAAACTGTGAGGTTCCCATCACAATGAGTTGCTATTTTAGCCCATCCTTGGGTCAGAGCTGGGAGCATGGGTCCGGGGATTGGTGAGAGCCCAGCAGGGAAGGGGTATTTCAAACAGCAGCTGTGAAGACCCACCAGCTCCCAGGCCCTGGGCAGTGACAGGAAGCCCGCCCAGCACTTACATCCCGATGCCCAGTCCTCGGAGCATCTCCAGGGTCTGATTGTGGATGACAGGTAGCACCAGGCTGTACATGATCACTAGGCCACACAGGCTCTGCATCACGTGGATGATGAGGTAGCCTGTGGGCCAAGGGAGCCGGTGGTCGCTCAAGGCCCTTCAGGATCCAGTCACACAGGTCTCTCCCTGCAGTCTTCCCTCTAGCCTCCTCCCAAACGAAGGTCCTGGCACTCTTACTTGCACTGTTTTCTTCTGCCTGGCATGACTGCTGACCTGCTCACCCTGCCAGGGGCAGTTCAAACATCAACTCCACTAGAAAGGCTTCTTGCCCTGTCCTGGGTGGGGACAGTCACTTCCTCCTCTGGGTCACCACCGCCCTTAGCATACACACCCCGTAGGCACAGGACAGGTGGTGATGATGACCTACACGAATGTGTGCTTCTCACTCCTTCCAGAAGGTCCCTCAAGGAAGAGCTGGGGCCACTTCTGCCCTACGTCTCTCCTCCCTACCCACAGCCAGGACTCTGCAGGTGCCCAGGGAATGTGTATTGAATTGAATGGGTCATGTGAGGGCACTTACCCCACAGAATATAAGCTATCTGCCAGCCAGAGTACCTTGCAATGGCCACCTGAGATTTAGAAAGAAAAAAGGGTCTGAGAGAGGAGACATGTTGATTACCTCTAACACGTGTCTGGCATCCTTGTCTCATGTGAGGGTCACCCACCAACCCACCAAGGCAGGTGTCATGATTGTCCTCATTTTACAGATGAGGAAACTGAGGGCTGGATGGGGACAGTGGCTGTCCCGAGTCACCCAGCAGCAGAACATACTAGAATTGAGGACTCTGGACCCCCAGCCCAGAGCTCTTCCTCCCCCCCCTCCCCCCGTCTGAGGTGCAGGAGAGCAGATTTTGGCCTCGGAGCAGAAAGAGGCCTCTGTAGACTTACCACACTCTCTGACGAGGAAGGATTATGGAACTTCAAAGGGAGAAAGTGTTTATCTCCTGCCCACAACCTCTTCATTTGCTTCCTAAAGAAAAAGTGGGAGTTAGTAATGCTCATGACCAGGGCTTAAAAATCATTTTTTAATACTTTTTTTGAAAATTGAGATATAATTGACATATAACATGATATTATTTCAGGTGTACAATATAATAATTCGATATTTGTATATATTGTGAAATGATCACAGTAAGTCTTGTTACTATCTGTCACTGCACACAGTTACAAAATTTTTTTTCTTGTGATGCGAACTTTTAATCTACTCTCTTAGAAACTTTCAAATATTCACTATTTTTTAACTATAGTCGCCATGCTGTGCATTACATCCCTATGACTTATTTATTTTATAACTGAAAGTTTGTGCTTTTTGATGCCATTCACCCATTTCACTCCCCCCACCCCGCCTCTGGTAACCACCAATCCGTTCTATGAGTTTAGTTTTAGTTTTGTTTTGTTTAGAGTCCATATATGAGTGAAATCATTTGTCTTTCTCCATCTGACTTATTTCACTTAGCATAATGTCCTCAAGGTCATAAATGCTGTCACAAATGACAAGATTTCATTCTTTTTTATGGCTGAGTAGTATTCTGG